ATGAGTTTTCTACTTGCAAGCATGCAAGATCACTCATGTCATGCAGTGCCTATGGAGATCAGAAGAGGGGACCAAACACCCTGGAAATGGAATAATGGACAGTTCTTAGCCACTTTCTGATTGCTGGGGATCAAACTCAGGTCCTCTGAAAGACTAGTCAGTGCTCTTAAATGCTGAGCCATTCCTCCAGGCCCTCATATAATAATTTTCAATGTTTTATCCAGTTAATCTATATGTAGCAATTTTATTTTATGATTTTTTAAAGAAATACTTAGAGCACTGAAGAAATTTTCTCTCCCTCCAAAACATTTCATAATTATATACAGTTCATGTTTGAACTATATTGGAAATATAAATGCTATATGTGTTTACATTAATTTATCCAGTTCTCATAGTCCCAATAAGAAATAGTTGTAGTATTTCCTGTTATTACAAATGAGGAGACAGTGTACAATACTGTGTTTCTCAGTCTTACGTGGCTTGTAAGAATGCTTCGGAATAAGCTGCATGGGTACAAATACTCTAATATTAAGCTTATTATATTACGGTGAAGACTTTGATAAATTTGTTCTATACTAAATTTTTATCTTTCCTTAACAAAGGTGTAAGCGATACTAGGATTTTTATTAAGTCAAAGGCAGGAATTAGAAAGAAAACAAAAGAAATAATTTTTAAATATTTTTATTGAGCTTTTGTAATTTCATACAACAGTTCTTAGTCAAATTTAGATCCCCCATCCATGTCTCAGCATCACCCCATGAAACTTCATGTATTCTGCCACACATGTTAAGTCCCATTCTTTCAGGCATATGTACCCAAATGTCCTTCAGTGTAAATGTGTCCACTGGAGTCTAGTCAGCCCGTCTAATGATCGTATGTAAGTCATACTCTCCCTCACCCAGAAATAATTAATATTTAATAGTTCTCAGTCTAGTGCCAGCCTGTCGCCCATTTCTCTCCTCCTCTTTGGGCCCTTGTTTAATTGAGTTTACATAGGTCCTGTGCTCGATGCCCCCATTGCCACAAGTTCACATGAGCAAGCTTCCAGTGGCCTGGAAGCCTCTGCTTCCCCATATTCATGAACCAGGGCTCTTACAATCTCTCTGCCCCCTCTTCTTGTAATGGTCCTTGAGCCATGAGTGAATGAGCATCCCTAGGGGAATCCTATCCTACAGTCTACCTTCTTTTATTCTTTGAAACTTGGCCAATTGTGGCCATCTGTGTGCATTATAATCTGTTGGATAAAAAAGCTTTACTGATGAGAGTTGAGGGACACAGTTTTCTCTCTACCTCTTATTCTTCTATGTTCCATGATCCTTAGTTCTAGAGGTTCAACTGTAGATGTGTCACCTAGTAGTGGGCATCTCTCAGATGTATGTTCTCTGTGTCTGACAAGATGTGAAATTCCTCAGTAGCCTCTATATTTTGCAAAAAGAAGCTTCTTTGATGAGTGCTGTACAGCATGCTTGCCTGAAAATATAAGGATCCATATTTTAGTAAAAAATTTCATTTGTCTTGAGATATGAAAGATACAGGGTTTTCTCTAGGATATATGCCTGCTCTTGTCATGTGCATTTGAATGAGTTTACACTGCTACCCATGAGCTTCCTCCCGTTGAGAGGGTTTTAAGTCCAAGTGGATAGCTGTTGATTGTCCCCCAGATAACAGTGCCGCTACTGCACCAGTAGAGGTAGTTTGCCATGCTGTTCATTATGGTTATTTGACTTTAGGGCTGGGTTGGACCAATGATTGGCTTTTCTCCCATGGCAGTTTACATATCAACATCTAGCCTTCTGATGACCAAACTTCCATTAGAAGGCTTCCAGTTCAAAAGAACTCTTCTACGAAAGTAGTTAAAGAAGTGAATTCCAATGGATTTTGTCATTCATTCCATTCATGATCCTTGTAAATTTTGTTAGTTTTGAATTTTGGCAGTCAAGATAAAGATAATATTTGAGTGAATGAAGAAAAGAAGAAAGGAATGAATGAAGAAACAAAAGAAGGAAGGAAAATATCAAGGAAAGAAGGCAATATTTTAGTAAAAGGAATGAAAAGGAATAAGAGAACTTTGGTGATATAACTCAGATGGGGAATACTGCTGTGTTTTGTTGAATGCTCAAAAATGTAGACTGAATATCACCCATTGTGCACTGTTAAAGAGGGATAATTTATGTCATAGCTATGAATAAGATTAAAAGGTATAAAACTTCTCTTTTCATATTGAATGAAGAAAGTTTCAATGAACTTTGCTCTTTCCGTATTTAAGAAATCCAGGAACAGCAAGATGGCTCAACAGTTAGATATACTTGCTCCCAAGCATCACTGAGTTTAATCTGTATAACTAAGGTAGGAAGAAAAGAGTCAATTACAAAAGTTGACCTCTGACTGACACATGATTGTTACACACACACACACACACACACACACACACACACACACTCATTCAGGCACTCATGCATGCACATGCACAATAAATTTAAAAAAATTAAACCTGGAGTTATAACTCAGATACAGTCCACTTCCTTAGAATATTTATGACCTTGGGCTCAGTTCACAGTACAGAAAAATATATTAATGGAAAGTTGACTTTATTAAGTCAATCCACTTCTGTTTGTGTATGATAGTCTCAGAAAGAGTTGATCCTAATTCTGCCCCCTCCTCCAGTATCATGTCTTCATGTGATATTCTGTATTTTCTTTTTCCAAGTTCATTTTCAATCTGCAAGGCTGTACATGTGTATTTATATTTGAATAGATATTTCTATTACCAAAAATCTTATCCACCTTTTCTAAACAGCTGTAGAAAGTATTTGGCAATAACATACCTTATGCTTTATTTAATGTCAGTATTATTAGAACCAAACCTTTTCTCAGCAAGACGATGCTATGTAAAAAAAAAAACACATAACGTAATTGTGACAAGGACTGGTATCTATCTATTTGGGTTGAAATTAGAGAGTGAACATGAACAATTATTTTTTATTTCTGTGCTCCAGATTCTTCAGCTATAAAACTCACTTATTACATGTACTTACAATAATTGAGACCCAGTTTTATGAAAAATTCTTATGCTCAGACATTAACCACATGCTTAAGAGCATGCAGAATATTTCAAACACCATACATATCAAAATACCAGGTGTTCCTAACTGCTGTGAAATAAAGTGAAACTCAAGAGCAGGATGTGAACAGATAAACTGTCAAATGGACTGGTGAGGAATGGCGTTACTAACAAAAAATCAGGAAACAGTCTTGCAGTTTTGTGCACCAAAGTAGATTTAGCAAAGAAAGAAAATGGAAAATCTCCAGGAAATATCAGGACTAACATCTGCAGGGACGAATGACTTGTCCATGTCCTGAAAACTAAGTGAGCATGTCCAGTGCAAACGATGAGTTCACAAATGCAGGGAGTGAGGACCATGCCAAATGTTATTGCTCAGGAATTATCAAGGTTGTATGTTTACTGTACCTGTGATAAAAAGTTTTGTACTTTTTGTGACTAAAATATATGATGGACTAACATTGACACTATGTTACACAGTAGAGTAATTACTTTTATGTTTAAGTGATAGTTCTTCATTAGGGATGTCAAAAATTTTAACGTTGACTTGGCACTATCCAGTGTAACTTTGTGAGTTCATCAGTGGGTACACACTGAAGGCAATGATTTCTCCTCTTCCCGAATCCATCAGTAGTAAAACATCAACAATGATGTTTAGGACCCCTGAGCTCTCCTGCATCCATGTCTGGTGGTTAAAGGACCCATGCACAGGGAGATCTAGCACAGACATTCACCATTACTCTGAGTTCATGATTCCAATGGTTGAGTCTTACTCAGAAAATCACATTTCACACTCCTTCTCCCTAGCTCAAGAATCTGTTTCCAAATGACTTTACAAAACAAAACTAATCAGAGAAAAGACAATGAGTAAGTATAGGGATCAAAATTACATGATATATCCCTGGCATGGTTTTCAAAAGTTGTTAATTACACACGAACAAGGATATAAGCACGTAGATTTTTGACTTGAAAATTTTATAATATATCATGGTTAAAGGAATACAGGATGAAATATGGGCCTTGAATGTACTGAGAACACAGTCACCTCACAGTTTGCAGTGGGAAGGAGATTATCGCATATTAGATTTTCAAAACGATGCAGAAAGCTGCAAAAGAATATAAAGGAAATTACAGGATTTTGTTTCTATATGTCACATACAGACATACATTGACAATCATTGACTGAGAATATGGCACAGTTGTCTACAACTGTTAAAGTGTGTCTCTTCCAAATTGTCACCAATATTAGCATGCAGCATTTTCCTATAACCTAACCTTATTTTAATAATTTAAGTCAAAATTTGTGGAATGTTGATTTTATTCCTTATCAGGTGATTGCATGTTTCCAGTTTAAATTAAAATAGTTTGCAAAATACCCATAAATATTCATTGAAATTAGCTAAAAATATGGGAGGAATTTAAGTCTTACACCGACAATGAGTAACAAGTATAATTATTTTCTTCAACACATTTTATAAATCCTTCTAAAATACTTTTTCCTGGAATAATTAAAGTTCTGAAGCTGAAGAAACTGAGGTTTATATTTCCAGTGATTTTTTATGGATGATGGAGTTAACAAGCTACTTCATTCTTCACATGGAATGCATTCTGAAATTTTGTAATTTTTTTGAAAATTATCTTACTGTTAATAATCAAAAACTTCAGTATGTATGTAATACCATATGATCTAGGTTTATGAATTACAAATATGTTCTCTTACTTTGAACACTAGTTGTACTTACCAATAGATAATTTGAGTGTGGATCTAACAAATGTTTAATTATTTCTAAATGTGAAACAGAATTTTAAAACCATATTCCTGGAAATGTCTAAGAAAGTTTCTATAAGGGAAATACCACAAAATATGGAAATCAATGCTTTCACTTATTTTTAAACAGAAAAGCCAAGGTAATAATACCAATGAAGGAAAAGGTGACTGCTCAGCACCACTGTTTGCCCCAGTGCTTGGAGCTCTCTGTCTTCTGCATCACTCTACTGAGAGCTCTTTTCACTTCTTTATTTCTGAGACTATAAATTAGTGGGTTCAGCATGGGGATCACAATGGTGTAGAACACAGAAGCCACTTGATCCTTTCCCAAGGAGAAGGACTTGTTTGGTTTTAAATGAGTAAAGATCACGGTGCCATAAAAGACAGTGACTCCCAGGAGATGAGAGGCACAAGTGGAGAAGGCTTTTCGCTTTCCCGAAGTGGACTTGATTTTCAAAATGGTAGAGAGAATGGATGCATAGGACACAGATATTGTTGTAAGGGATAGCAGTAAGGTGGAACCAGCAAACATGAATATAATGAATTCAATGTCGTGTGTATCACTGCAGGACAAGGCTATCACTGGGGATGTGTCACAGAAAAATTCATGGATTACAGTGGAGTTACAAAAATTCAGTGTGCTCATGCATAATATATTGACCGAGGAATCCATAGCTCCAAAAATGTAGGATCCAGTAAGGAGAAAACTGCAGAATTGTGTGGACATAATAACTGAATAGTGTAGAGGGTTGCAGATAGCTATGTAGCGGTCATAGGCCATTGAAGAGAGAAGGAAACATTCAGTAGCTGCCAAGAGAACAAAAAAGTACATCTGTGTGAAGCAGCCACTGAAGGAGATGTTCTTCTTGGATGTCAGCAGATTCTCTAAGGTTTTAGGTGTGATGACAGTTGAGTAACTGAGGTCAAGGAATGACAGGTGGGTGAGAAAGAAATACATCGGGGTATGAAGCTGGACATCTAGATGAATGATGAGAATCATCCCTGTGTTCCCGAGCACAGTAACCAGGTATATCAGGAGAAAAAGAACAGAGAGGGCCAGCTGGACCTCCGTGGAATCTGTCAGTCCTATAAGGATGAAGTCAGATTCATTTCTGCAATTCCACATATTCACAGTGAGCTGCTGTTAAGAAATTTTAAAAAAATTGGTCAATGTGAATAATTCCCCAAACAATTTTATCTATATGCCATGCTTTCGTATTTTTGGAATTAATTTCTATTGCTTCAAAGTTATTATTTTATAATATTTAACTATATAAAATAATCTCCTAAAATAAAAAGAAGTTTGGCAATTAATTTCGATACAGTAAAAGAAAACTTCATATGTTCAGCGAAACTGGAATTAACCAATTCTTTCAGATGAAAAAAAGGGTGCAGAAAAATCAACTATGAAAATTCAGTTCAAACGTGTGTTGACTGTATGATTTGCCAAGGTAGTTTAACACCCAAGAGTATGCTCTTGAATTTGTGTGTCTCTTTGTGATTAGTTCCAAAAACTTAAACCAAACACTGACCATGTAATGAAGAAAACTAGAAAAATCACTTAATATATCATTTTCCCTTCATTGTCTTGCAGTATCAATTAATTCTAGTCACCAATAAATTTTACAGGATTCTAGTAGGCTACCTTAAGACATATAACTCTCGGTGAAAATAGGCTGCATGACTGTTCTGGCAATTAAAAGCCAAATTTCTTCTAAAACTACATTTTGTTCATAAAATCTTATTCCATCAACTCAACATTTCTGTTGTCAGAAATCTTAACATTTCTTCTAAAAGATCCAAATTATTGGTTTATATAATATTTTAGTGTATATGTTGTGTTATAAATTTTTCTTATTTTTTTTCAAACCTTTAAAATTCAGACTAGAGAGATGGCCCAGCAGTTAAGAGCACTGGATACTCTTTCAGAGGACCTGGGTTAAATTCCCAGCATGACATGATGGCTAAAAACTGTAGCTCCAATTTCAGGGGAATCAAATGCCTTCATCTGACTTCTCTAGACACTGCATGATACAGGTGCACTTACACACATGTACGCAATACACTCATACACTAAAATAAAAATAATAAATAAAAATATTTTACAATCTTCTAATTTTAAGAATACTCACCATGAGCCAAAGTGATGGGAACCAGCAGTCACAAATTGTCTTTAAATCTCATATGCCTTAAAATTTGACAACTTCCAATTAATCTCACAAATGAAATATGAAGTTGATAAAAGGTTCTGAATCTGTCTGTACAGTAGTATTTATTTTCCTTGAGAGTCTTCCCAAAACATGCATTCATTTCTTTTAGGTTATGCAAACCAGCCTAAAGTTTGATTCAGATCTTGTCCAAGTACAAAGTTTCACAGGTAGCTATGGCCCAAATGACTCCCAGGAGCTACTGTGAATATAAGCAGGACAGTGCAGGCCTTCCTTCTCTGCCTAATAAGTCCAAGGTACCTATTGAAAGGGCGATTAGCATCATCCCATATGTGGTCAACCTCAGGGGCCAATTTCAAAGGAAGACTTTGGCATGCTTTCAGGGACCAAAGATCAAGGACTAATTGGGCAAAGGTTTTTCTTTTCCCAAGAGCCCCAATGTAAACAGGATGACCGCCAAAAGTGTTTCTTTTTGATCACACATAAACAGACAAACACATATGCACACATGCATGCATACACACACACACAAAGACACATTAATTTGACACAATAAATAAGTTTATGAAAATACTATCTCACAGTAGAGTGGTCAGATACAGTCATTTTTAACAAATATGGAAGAGAAGAAATTTAGAGATATGTCTGTTTATCAATGACATTGTAAGGTACACTTAAAATAGGAAGGTATTATTCCAGAGGAGCAAATACTGTTCTTTGAAAGTTATGAAATACATACCCAGCATGATGGCACATCATTTTAATCCAGCACTCAGGAGGCAGAAGCAGGGGGATCTCTGTAAGATATAGGCTAGCTTGGTCTACACTGCTAGTTCCAGGCCAGCTGAGGCTACAGAAACACCCTGTCTCAGAGGGTATCTCAAAGAAACAAAAAAGAAATATAACAAATTACGAGGAAGCTACTAAAAGTGATTCTAAACTTTGGTTAACATTTTAACAGAATTACAACCTATCTAAACCATTTTCGTTTGGGCCCAAAATAACTTACACACATATATTTACAAGTTTTCATAATTAGAATACTGTATAACTAATATCTTATTCTCATTTTTTAATGAAATTTTTTATGGCAAGATCTTGCTGTTAACCTCATAAAAACCCCATAGTGTCAAGCATTTTGTTTTTACTGGTCCCATAACTCATTAAGTGATCTGAAAGTTCCAAAGCTTATAAACAAGCATTTTGAGAAATCCCAGCGTTGGCTAATCCTCCCTTATGGTCTGGTGATGTCATTTACTTCATCAGCTTGTGGCAATTGTGCAGTTTGTTTATGTTTTTTAAAAGTTTTATCCTGAAGGTACAACTGAAAGACAAAATCAACCCTGAAACTAGTAAACATTTTTAATTATCTGATTGGGAAAAACGTATTTCATTTTTATATAATCAGGTCAAATGCTTTCTTTTTCTATTTCATAGAATTTTGAGAATTTCATAACACTGTATTTTAATATTTTGATGTATTGATCATATTCAGAATCCTTCATCTCTCTATAATCCCCAATTATCCTCTACCAAGTTCATGTTCTCTCTCTCTCTACACAAGCACACACACACAACACACACACACGCACACACACACACACACATGTCCTATCTATTTTGTGTGTCCAAATATCCTTTAGTTTGGTTCTATGTCCTAGAGCCAGGTTAACTTGTCTATCAACAAACTTTTAATTAAAGCCGACTCTCCCTCTCTAAGCAGCTATCAGTTGCGAATAGTTCTTAAGTTGGCTATGGGTTTTCTTACACACTGCGCCACTTCTATGCTAGAAATTTGTCTGCTTTAAAATTGTGTATGTTTCATTCATGTTACACAGTTATTGTGAATACATTTGAGTAACTGCCTAGGTGTCTGGAAAACACTGCTTCCTATGGTCATCCACCACCAGTGGCTCTTGCAAGCTTTCCAACCTTTCTTCCACAATACTTCCTGAGGCCGAGGTTTCATATAGATGTGCTACTCAAGACTGAGCATTCTGCAGTCTCTTATTCTCTGCCCATTACCAGTGTGTATCTCCCTGTTAATTACTATCTCCTACATGGGGAAGCTTCTCTTTTGAGAGCTAAGAGATTTATTAATCTATGGGTATAACAGTAAGTCATCAGGAGTCTTTTTTCCACTGAGTACAATAATAGAAGCAGGTTCTTTCCTACTGCATATGACCTGTCTAGCCACAGGTACCTAGACCTGATATCAGTGTCCATTAAAGGCCACATTTTGTGAAGTGCTCCATAAATCCAATTAGAGAGCAGTAAGTGACTCACATAACAATCACGCCATTATTGCAGCAATAGGCAGATCTTGCTAGGCCAGTTGTTGCAGGATTCACAGCTGAGATGATTATTGATTACTTTTCTCTCATTGTAGCATGCATGATACCTTACTTGGGGATGGAGTAGGGAGTGAGAGGAGAGATAAAAAATGCCTAGATGTTACAAAAAAAAAAAAAACAGAAGGAAATACATTAGTTCAAAATCCTACTGAAACAAAAAGATATGTACTAGTGCATATATATAGCTTAAGAATATATAACAAATAAACACAGGGCCAGATATTAGACACTTCCCTTGGAGTTGCTCAGGGTAGTCCAGGAGACTTACAAAATAACACAGGCTATTGCCACAGTCCTTTATTGCCTCCCAGAACTTGAGGACAAGACCTTACTGCTGAAAATAAGACATACTTCAGACACAAGAATTGGACAATCTAGCTGAATAGTAGTTTCCCTCTGAAAACTAACTCTCATGATAACAGAGGATACTATGCAAGCTGCCAAGGGAGAATACCCATCAATGATCTTAGTCATCTGTAAAACATAATAACCACAACAGTGATTGGTTCAGCAAATTATCTCTATTGTTGCAGTGGTGGCATTTTTAACTTGGTGGTAATCAACAACTGTCTAGTTAGAATTAAGTCCCACTCAATGGGAGGAAATTTGTGTGTGATACCGTAAACACAGCCAAATACACATGTCTGGAGAGGTCATAAATCTTAAAGAATAACTTGCATTTGCAACATTCCTAAACAAATGCATTTTTAGTGTATTCTAAGTATGCATTCTAATATGTACAGACAAGTGTGCCTTTCACTATACATCAAAGAAACTTCTTTTGCAACAAATGGAGACTGATACAGAGTTATACAACTGGTAAAACTCAGAGAATAATTATCTCTGAGGTGCTTAGCCTTAAGTGACGTTTTCAATAGAACCTCTAAACGAAAGGTGAATGCATCTTTCAGTTCTTACCAAAGAGGTTTCCTTATGCATCAGATGGTGATGAACCCAGAATCTGACAACTGGTCAATGTACAGAGAGTATGAGACTACAGAGCGCTCATTCCTGAATAGGCCATCTATTTCAAAATTCTGCCTCCCAAGGCCCTGGAATCATTGCAAAAGACAGGGCAGAAAATTTAAGAGCCAAAGGTATTTCATGGTGACAAGGAAACAGAGTTCACGAGACAGCAGATAAGTTACACATATGAACTCACAGCAATACTTATCACATGAACAAATCCTATGCAAATTCAAGCCAGACAAATATCTCAGCATAGACTTGGAGAAGTGAGTAAGAAATCCCAACCCACCTTAAGGAACTTTTGACAACTGATGGCTGTTGGAAAAGGGGAGAAACTCTTACAGGGATAGAACTCTTGCTATATTGACTAGGCTCCAGTGGATGGACCAGTGCTGAGGGACATGTGAAACAGAAATCCAAGTCTATAGGCCATAATGTATATATGGCAAAGTACACTGAATTTGCTGGGGCATGGGAGAGTGGTGAGGGGAGGGGAGGATAGGTGACAGGATCTGAATATCATCAAATAATATTCCATGAAAATCACAGAAAGTAAATAAATTTTTTTAATTATTCATCATGCACACCATGGCAGAGAGACATGACAGTAGACATGACTAGAGTAGAAAGCTTAGGACTAACAAATTCCAGCATGCTCAGGAAACAGTGAGACAAACTGGCGGTGGGGCAGGTCTGTGAATTCTCAAAGCTTGCCCACAGTGATATGTTTCCTTTAACAAGGCTGAACCCCCAAAACCAAAGTGAACAGTGGCACTGTGGTGGTTTGAATATTAAATACCCCTCAAATACTCAATGTATTTGAATAGGCATCCTGAGTTGGTGGTGCTGCTATGAGAAGTCATGAAATCCCTAGGTGGTGTGGGAGGGCTGGAGGAAATATGTCACTGGGCTCAGTATTGAGAGGTCATAGCCTTGTCCCACTTCCAGTTTCTCTCTTACTCTCTGCTTCCTGTTCTTGCTTGAAGATATGAGGAATGAGCTTTCTGCCAAGGCTGCCTCTGCCACCATGGCTCTTTCACTTTGATGAATTCTTATCTCTATGAAACTATATGCCAAATAAAGTAATCATGGTCTAAGTTGCCCTGGTCATTGTATTTTATCACAGGAATTAAAAAAGTAACTAATGCAGCAATGAACTTGAGGCAGTTTTCAAACACTTGGAGCCTATGAGGGATATGTCTCAATTAAGCCACCACATTCCATTTCCTGGCCCCCATGGATTTAGGACTATATCATAAAGTAAAATGCATTTTTTAAAAGTCTCCATAGTCTTCAATAATCTCCACACTGTGCAAAATTTCAGTCTCTTTTGAGACCGTATTTATAATACTCTGTAAATTCCAAAAGCAAATGACAAAATTCCAACATACCATGGTATAGAATATTCATTTTCATTCAAAAAGGCTGAACTGGGGCAGAGTGGAGAAATGTCCTACCAAATAAAAATCTAAGACCTCAGAGAAAACAGAAGATGCAGAAGCTCCCTTTCTGATGTTTGTGACTTTAGACCGAGAGGTTTAGATGGTTCCACTCCTCCAGGCTTGCTGTTTGAAAACACATCTTCCCCTTGGGCTGGCATCATTTACTGTATACTGGACCCTTCTGCAGATGTTTCACAGCTCTGGAATCTCCAACATCTTGAGAGTCCCTACCCAACTTAGGTTTCATCTGCACCATGGCAACCCAGGGCCTTTTGGGCAATCAAGACATTTTTCCCTCCAAGGGACTTGCCTCTAGTATGCTGCCTGTGCTAAGAAACTCTCTAAAACAGTGGAAGAAGAATCAACAACAGCTTCACATTTGTATCTTTCATGTTTCTAAAGCCAGTGCCACTACAATGTTACCAAGTTAGGAGGCCAGCGTGGACTGGTGCTTGCCCCCCTGCACCCATTTTACCAGAAGCTTTAAAAAATGTATTGAATTTTTGTGCATTTCATACAATAAATCTTGACCACATTTAGATCACTTCCTGTACTTGTACACCCTATAGGCCACCCCCCAACCCCTGGCTAGTTTCATTAATTCTGTCGTATAGGTTAAGGACTATGAATTAAAGTTTGTGTTCCAAAATATCTATTGGTGTGAGTCCATTGAATAGATTCTGGTCAACCTAATCTCCATTAAAGAATATCAACTCTTCCTCACATACCAGTGGTCGGTTGCCAGTAGTTCCTTGGCTAATGTTTGGTCTTACCCATTTCTCTGCTTTTTTCTAGGTTTTTGTCTGGTGTGAGTTTGCATGGAACTTCTGCATGCTGTCAC